TTAGCGTTTGGATATTAGAGAGAGATTGTGAAGGAGATAAAGCTTTGGGTTGAGCAGCTCTTGCTAATGTCGGTTCATCACTTCATGTCTGTTTGCCGGGTCGGGTCAACGGCCGGAGGCTTAGTCTGTTTCTTTTTCTTTGGTCATGAATTTGTTTCTTTTGTTTTTAACAAAAATTGTATCAACCAAGGGAAATAGTTATTTTGCATATCATAAACTCTGTATTTTATTTATTTTGAATTTCTAGAATGATACTTAAATTTATATCGGTGGCAATTGGCAGTTGGCAGTTGGGTGCCAAGTATTAGTTCTTTAGGCTCGAGGTTGTGGGTATGTTCTAGTACTGGTGGTGAGAGTAGACAATCTCCCCCTAAACTTTTGTTCATCAAAAAAAAAATTATAGAATGATACTTCAGCTACAGAGACATGTATACGTCTAAAACCAATATCGACGTCGATAGTTTCTCTCACACTTCAATAACATTTGGCTAAAATATCGCTATAATATCGATAATATCAAGATGATGAAGACAATGAAAAATTTGAAGATTTACACTAACACTCCTTGAGGTTTTGTGAAGGTTTCTTGTGTTTTCACAAAACTCCCTCGGGTCTCAAAAATTACATTAACACCCTATGAGGTTTCAGTTTGTTTTTATAAAACCCATTTTCGTTAATTATTTGTCCAAAAATTGATGATTTTATTGGGAAAAAAAAACTTATGCATATGATAAAATTAACCACAATGAAGTATATGCAATCTAATCTCAAAGGCCAACTGTGTCATTGAGATAATTTTTGTGTATAAAATCATCAATCTTTGGATGAAAAATCAATGAAAATAAGAAGTTTTATAAAACAATTTAAAACCTCATGAGGTGTTCTTGTAATTTCCAAAACCTCAAGGAGTTTTGTGAAAAATCCGAAAACCTCAGGAAGTGTTAGTGTAAATAACACAAATTTAAACCTTATAGGAACTTTATGTGGTATTAAATCACTCATGTATCTTACCATGTAATGTATAATGTGTAAAATATTGTAGTAAATCATTATAAATAAATGACTATGGTTTGTTTAATCTTTATTCATTAATTACTACATATTTTCTACACTCCCATTATTTATCAGCTTGCTATATAATCAAATTAAATCAATTAAACTCATCATGCAATACATTTCCTTCCAATTTTTTTGTGATAAAGTAATAGATAATTGACTAAATAAACATCCTCCAAAGTTTCAAGAAAAATTATCATGTTTTTCTTACAATTTCTGTGGTTTTTATTCAATTTTTATCGATATTTTTGTTGAAATTTCCATATTTTTAAACTATCGATATTTCTAAAGTCATCGATACTTTAGACCTTGTTCACAACCAAGCCGGTCTTAGGAGTGGGTGCGAAGGGTGATAACCATGGGCCTCCAAGTAAGAGGCCTCAGCGGACGGGGTCTTGATTAGATATTGGTTTTGTTAAAGTACCCTTTTGTACTTAGGTGGATTTGTATTTCTTCCCAATCCTTGTACGATCGTTTTTATGTTTTATATCAAATTGATGTTTTGCTTAAATGTGTTTATCTAACTGAGCTCCCATTTTGTTTGAAACCGTCAAATCCGTTGATAGATATATTGAATCATTTGTCAGCATGGAAGCACAAAAGATGAATTCATGCTCTAAATCTCTGCCACAAATGATAGATTCATGCTTTGTCAGCATTAGAAACTCCTAATATTAACATAAAAGTTAAAGGAATTTACGGTAAGAACAAAAGTGACACAAAAATTAAAATATAAGGACCATAAAATTTCAAAACTAATTTGGAAAACCAAATTGAAACTTGAGTGCAAGTCTTGCTGCCAAACATTGGTTTCCAAACTTAATTTAACATCAAACGTAAAAGCTATGTCAACATTCTCTTGCGTCATCATATGTATATAATATATATATACACACACACAGAAGCATCAACAACCCCATACATAATGGGAAATAAATTAACTTGAAAAACAGAGAATAAGCATCAGCACCGAATGACACCCCATCAAACAAAATCTTTGTAATATTCTCTGCCCACCTAATTTCTGGGAATCTTCTATTTGGAATATATATATGAAAAAAGAAAAAGTATAAAAATAAAAGGCATGCTCTGCCCATTGACTGACCAGGCCGAGTTGCTGACTCAACTGAGTCCTAGAGAGTTAACTCAGCCAATATCTGCAGCATCATCCAAAACCTGCCACAAAAATAGCTTCCCACTTGGAACATCAGCGTCACTTCGTTCTGTTGCACACTTTGCCTGCTGCAAACTTTTTGCTAATTTTTTCATCCTCGTGGGCACCAAACTCCTCAGCATGTTACTCCAAATCGGTAACCTAACTCGTTCAATAAAACAATTTTCGATCTCCTTAACAACGTCCATCATTGTTGGACGACATGCTACATCTGATGAGACACAGCTTGCTGCCACATTTAACATGTGCCTTATTGTGCTTGACATGTACGTGGGCAACCCTAGCCTTGCATCACAGATTTGTTCTATTCTTTGCTCTTTGATTAATGGAATTGCCCAATCCACTATTGAAGCTGGTGATTTATAGATGTCAATGACTTTCCTGGAACTTATAATCTCCAACAACACAATGCCAAAACTAAACACATCATTCTTGGTACTTAGTTTGCTAGGAGTGGTGTAACAAGGGTCCAAGTATCCAATAGTACCTGCAGCGGGTTGACTCGGGTGACTCGGCGAGTCGACTCGCAAGAGCACGGCAAGTCCAAAGTCCGCCAACTTGGCATTCCAATCTGAATCGAACAAAATGTTTGCGGACTTGACGTCTCTGTGGATCACCATAGGTTCCCCTTGGTGAAGAAATTGGACCGCCCGGGCAACACGAATGGCGATTTCCACACGTTTAGGCCACGGAGGTGGTGTGGATGCAACATGAAGTAGGTCATGGAGAGAGCCATTGGGCATGAACTCCATGACAAGGAGCTTGTTCTTGTTTGAGTCTTGATGACTTGTTCCAAGAAGGCTTATAACATGTGGGTTTTCGGGTAGAGAAGACAATACACATATCTCATTGTCGAGCTTAAGGAGTGATACTTGATGGGCATGATATTGATCAAGTGGCTTCTTTATGGCAACCAGTTTGTTGACTAGTATGGCTTTGTACACCATGCCATGGCTTCCTTTGCCAATGAGCTTAGTTGGAGAGAAGCTTTCTGTTGCCTTCACAAGTTGATCATAATCAAAGTCCACCATTTTCATCTTGATGAAAAATATACCAAGAAGTTAAACTTTGATGAGTTTGGATAGATGTGGAGGGAAATGGAAATGAGGGTTGTATTTTTTTGATGAGGTTGATGGGTTTCATGTAGGTGAGAGTGGGTAGGAGCAATACTGGAAGAGCTTTTGGAGATGCCAGCGAATAAAGAGGCTGTGGGGGACATCAAAAGGAAAAAGCAAATAGTAAACAAAAAATAAAATGAAAGAAAAGAGTTATTGAGAAAAGGAAAAGGTAGCAGTGTGCTGAGAGAAAAGCAAAACCCTACAACGAAATGCTTCTGACCAGGGATGAGATCGATGATGCTCCATTAGATTAGATATGCTTGTTGGTTTGATTTCCCTGGTTGTTTGGTCCCTCTCCCACCCTATAACACTTTTTTATTTTTTAATTATAATTTAATTTAGATCAAGTTAATTGCAGCAATGATCCCTGAATTATTACCCGAATGTTGTTTCAATCCTTAAATTTGTTTTTTTCAAATCTATTGTCCTGGTTTTTTTTCTTATTCACTTTAGTCCTTCCTTACCATTAATTCCGTCAAATTTTTCTGTCAAATTTAGGGTAAGTCCCTCATTTCACCTGTCATTTGTAAAGAATTAATAAATTGAAGAAAAAAAATTGAAAAATGAGTTCTTATGCTCCATGGAGGAGCAGCGACCCGTGGTGGACTTGTAAAGACAGATTGGAGTCAAGCTCCATTCACAGCCTCTTCTTGCAGTTCAAGTAGTGCTGCTACATCATCTGCATCCACTAGTGGTGCTTGGTTTTCCCAAGAGAACAGTACAAGTGAGGAAAGATTGAAATGGGTGCACGACAGCTACATGATATAAAAGATAACTGACGCAATTAACGGGGTCTAGTCCAGTAGAAAAGTAACTTGATTTGCAGATCAATAATTTCATGTTCGAATCCTCATGGTACCTTGATAGTGTGTGTGAGAAACTCCACTCCCCGTTGTAATTTGGACTATCGCTTGTATTAAAAAAGTTAATGCGCATAAAAAATTTCCATTATGAATGCAGCAAGAGTTATTCATTATGTATGATGTGTCAAACTTATTTTAACCACGAGCGCTGCATGATTATAAAATCATGGTAGAGCCTTTAGCAGGCATGTCTTATGTGTTGGAGATAAAAATCATGAATGCTCTTAGCTATATAAACTTATCCTAACTTTCTTATTAGGATTGGGCGATTTTAACAGCGTGAGATTGTAGCATGTGCATGCAGTCCTTAATTGGAGGTATAAATGTCGTCGTCCAAGTTCTGTCACGCACATCAGTGTTGCCCGTGTCGTTTAATTCCGTTAAAATTATGTTAGTTTGCTGGCATGTCGTGCATGTACGACTCACAAATCTATGATATAAAAAAGCTTTAATAAATGGAAAAACTTCGAATTTAAAAAAAGAAACCTGCACATCGAGAAAATAAAGAGAAACGGAGAGAGGGAGAGACGAGAGAGGGGGTTGGGGAACTAGGTCAGTGATTGGATCGGGAGGAGACAGAGAAAGAGGGCGGTGATTACGGCACATGGTGGTCGGGCTGGTGGCTACAATAGGGGAGGGGGTTCGGTGTGCAGGACAAAACGTAGAGGACAACATTGATTGCTAAAAACAAAAATGCGTAAAATTAAGTATTTCGCAGACGTTTGGGACTATTTGTGATTAAAACCCTGAAAAGATAAGTGCATTATAATTGAGCACAGAAAAAATCGATAGGAAAATAGGTTGAACCAAAAAGATTCAGAAACCAATAACTTTGTTAAACAAGGTAAAAAGACATACATCACATGGACAAAAGAAGACCTCCAAAAGCATACCAAATAATTGTCTCTGCATACGATAATTTCAGAAATCCAACCATTTGGTGAAGTAGACACACGTCCTTGGGGAAATAATACCATCTGGCGTACACTGACTTATCCGCGGACAAACTCCACATGGAATGGAAGCCATGGCCCCTACTTTGGGTTCCCGTTTAGTACCTCCCTTGCTTGTGGATTTATAGCAAACTTTCCCAACTGGAAATGAAGCAAACTCCCCCATCCCAGTGCTCTTCACCTCCGTGATCCGTTTGTCCAAAACCAAAACCCTCAGAATCTCCTCAATTTGCGGTCTTGTGAACGAAGTTTTGAATATTCCACTCTTTTTAACTTCATCAGAAATTCCCTCCAAGGTAGCAACCTTGAGCTGATATATGATCTTTGCAAACCCGTCTTTTACACAGGTTATGTAATATTTATCGAGGGTCCCATTAGAATACCAATCCCCACCGGTTAACTCCTTGGAGGGCTCAAACTCTGAAGCCATATAATGCTTTCTCCCCTTGCTTTGGACATTTACAACCTCTTTTATCAGGTTCTTGGCTTGGAGTGATTTTATGGATTTGCCAACCAGATTGTCAGGGAGGTTCGCTTCCTTCTTCATGTCTCGTGTCCAAATTCCCATATCTTGCTTGCTTCGGATCACATTATATATGATTTTCTCGTGCTCTGTCAAAGACTCCGACGGGGAATTAGAGTCTGGCTGTTTCCGTTTGAGTGCTGAAGGTCTGCTCATCCTATGATCCTGTCGAGGGGTAAAGAAAACAACATTAAGAAACTTTGTTGACACTTACATCACAAAGCGCTAAGACTTGTTTCTTTTTTGAGGTCTTAAAAAATAAATCATTACTTTCTATGGGATAAGATACAACGTAAAATCCAAAAATGTATTCACTTAAATTAGAAAGACTATTTTTGGTGGCAGAGAAACAGGAAAAGAAAGCAAACAAAAACACTCAAACAAGTTAATATCCTTCGGAAACAATTTGCAACAGAAAAATGCAAAATTTTCACCGAATTTGGTTTCCTAAAAAAATGAGTGATAGTGTTCTTCTGAGTCCAAAGTTTCCTTTTTTCACTTCAGCTACACTACCATTATTTGATTTTCTTATTTTTCAGACTGTTTCTTAGTAACCAAAGACAACGGATGTTATTTTTTTCAAAGAAAAACAGCATATACCCAAAACAATCAATATGCAAACTAGAAAAAATTGGTTTTTTGTGTTTCATTGCTAAGAACAAGTAAGAAATATAAGAAAGTAATGAATGCTGGTGTTCTGAGTCCCAAGTTTCTTTTTTCACTTTCAAGTCAGAAAACAGGAAAATCAATGAATCGTAGTGTTACTGAAAGTTATTAAATTTTAAAAAAAAAATTGCTGAAAGTGAAAAAAATAAACTTTTGTTAGAATTTGCTACTTGGACAATACATGAAACCTCTAGCATCAAAAGAAGATTCAAGACATGGCATAAATACCAAAACAGATTCAACAGATGCCACTCATACATTACAATCCTTTCAAAAAAAACAAGAAATGCTAGAAAGAAACAGGAAAAGCCACATGATTCATTTTCGAAACCAGGAAATGCTTGAAAGAAACATCTTTCAAATTTTTACATTCCCAAAGCACTTCTTATTGATTCTCTAGCCAAGAAATATAAACTTATAAATAGCATGCAATGAGAATATTAAAAACTACAAGTGTATGATTACAGCCTCAAACAAGCCCGATTGCATAAACTCAAAGTCCCACTGCATATTTTTGAGCTTTAAACAAGCAAATCGCATATCAGAAGCATCAACAAGGACTGATTTATCAATTGAACCACAACACAACAGATTCTATTAGATTCATCAACAAGGAACTGATTTATCAATCGACTTATTGAACACAACAGATTCTATTACAAGCATGAACATAACAGATTTATCAATTGTGTCGATGGAATCCCATACAGTTTGTCAAAAGCAAGATGTCTCTTTGTTTTAACTAGCAGCGGTTACATTATTGCTCACTTCATTGAACCAAAAAAGGGGTCACTTGAAGAAAAATCAAAACAGTGGCAACAAATGCAGTCCTGACCTATCTTTTTACATATACACAATTATGAAACAGGATGCATTTAATGAATGCTATAGCAAATGAATTTTACACATCTAATTTTTTTTTCTTTTCCAGGAAACTAGAAAGGGTGGACAATCAGAGGAAGAGAAAACTAGAATTGAGAATCATATACCAAAAGAAAAGTAGGAATTCGAACAGAAAGCACCAAAAGTAGTTTCATATCAAACGGGCATGACATGAACTCAATCCAACAGTTATGAATCATTAAACCACATATTAGATGTATATTACTTGCCTTTTCTAAGGAGAATCAGTCTGTTTCTTACCCATCATATTTTCTTTTTTGCAGGAAATTAGGGAGGGTGAGCAATCAGAGAAATAGACCACAGGGCTTAAGCAAGATTGTCTCGTAACAAAAACTAGAGAGACCACAGTGAATGACCAAAAAAAAAACAAAACAAAACAATCAAAAAGTACCCAGGAAAAAAAACCGAAAACTAACCAAAGTAGCGAGCCAGAGATGATAGAATGTGAGACGGAGTCGCAGAGATGAGAGCCTCCAGCCGGAGTGACGCCGGACCGATGTTGTGCGCCTCTTCGGTTATGGCTTCGCGTCGACTGAAATAGATAGAAACGGCTCAAGTCGACGGCGCCGGAGGGATGAAACAGACGGTGTAGCAGAGGCGTGCGGCGAATGATGGAAAGCCTTTTTGTTTTTTCACAAGTTCAAGTGGAAGAAGAGGAATGTCCTTTTCTGTGGGTAAAAAACCTTCATTCATTTTAATTAAAAGAGGGTGAAATAGTAAAACACCACTAATAATAACATGCTAGTCAATGGCATAATAATGGCCGTTGCTCACGAGCCGATTGGGCTTTAACTTGGACCTGCTTAGGCTCGTCAGTGGGCCAGTTTGGTTTGGTCCTTTAGGTCCCATAGAGGGGTAGCTTTCCATGCATGCTTTTTGGTTGTCATATATGTGTTCTTGGAATGGAAACAAGGATGGTCATCAATGTTAAACATGGTGTAGCATTACCATTCTAAAGACTTGTTAAACCATACATTCATATGAAGGAAAAATAAAAATAATTATTACATTGAAGAATATGAGTCTCACATCAAGAACTTGACTAAATAAAATACAAAATATAATAAATGGTTCTACTACTAATAACACCGAGGCCTTTTGTGATAAAACTTCACACCTACTGGGTTTTGTAGGTGATTAAGTTGAAGACAATATCAGTGTTGTTAATAGTGGGATGCTGGCCCGTCTCTTTGAATTAAACAAATTAGATATTCATGGTGCAAGTTCAAGATAGGTACCAAAATATTGAAATTGAAAACGTGAATACTAACATGCTTTAAGGGTGCAAGTTCAAGATACTAAACTAAATTGGAAAGCGATTACATTTTGAGATTGGCACACCAAACCATATACTATTGAAGAAGATGCTCTAATAAAAATCGTAAAACTCGGATTCAAAGAGTCCTCAGAAAATTGATGTTTCTGAAATCATATGAGTGAAATTTGCCCGTAGGCCATAGATTTGATTTAGACATTAGGAAGGTGAAGGTCCTACGCACACCCGTACATGCATGTACCGCATATGCATGTGGAGCCCTATCAATGCCGATAGAGACGCATGAAGGTTTCTACCTATGGTGCAAGAGGTACAAATAATGTACCTAATTGTAGGGGTTACCATAGACATCTAAATAAAAACAAAACATTTAATGCAAATAAATAAATAAAAACCTCATTTCATGCAGGCAAATTTTGACTTTTTAAATTCATTCAGACGGCTTGATTAAAAACAAGAAAAATCTGAAAATCATGAGAATGAATGTGCTACCTATTCTACACCCGAGTTATTCGTAACTTTATAGTTGTTTATCTAATTTTAAAAGACATTTACCAAACTATTACCAATCCCATGAGATGGGCTCTAATTATGCATGGTCCCGCCCAAATAGACTGCATAGTATGATTTTATTCCTTAATATGTTGCATGTTATACTAGTGGTTAGAGCTCAGAATTTATTGTACTGTCGAAGCATAGTAACTAATATATACAAGACAACTTCATGATGCATAATTAATAGCTTTGTATTCTTTTCATGGTTAGGAGAGTTTCATAGCCTCCCCCTCCCTATTGCCACAATATCAAGTATGAGACTCTCTTGAGTGAGAAAAAACAATTAGGTCTTCCGATAGAGAAATATGGAAGAAGAAAGATAAGAGGTTTGTAGCTAAAATAGTTAAGAGCAGTTATTTATGCATTCGAGATCGAGATTATGTGTTGAACCTCAACTGACCCAATATCGCTTATGTCAAAAAAATAAAAAAAATAGAGAGAGTATTTTGGGATGATGGTGGTGGGAAAAGAGAATTATTATTTTTAAAAATTTAGCTGATGGGAAATTCGTTATTTAATAATAATTATTTTGAATTTCTCACGTACGCGGGACTTTGACTTAAAATTGAGCGGCAGATTCAGCTTTTATGTTGTTTTTACCGCTTACTTTGTTTGGCAAAGAGAAAAGGTTAATAAGTGGGAGGGGGTAAAGGTTAAAAGGGGAAAGTTAATGGGAACAGAAAGAAATGAAGATCAGCACTGAAAATTTCAATGATGTCTGACGGGAGACGGTAAATTTAGGTTGACAGCGGTGCACAAAATCTGAAGCAAACAGACCAATAATTTAATGGCCTTAATTAGGAAAGTCGTCCAAGTGGGTAGGGAGGGAGCCTCAGTATTTTCTGACTTGGCCTGTGAGCTGTGACACAGACATTTTGGAATTTCATGCTTTAAATAAATTGAAATCAATTTTTGTTGGTTGGAAACTTTGGAATTGAATTTAAGACTTTTTCAAAAACAAAAAAACAAAAAAAAATAAAATAAAATGAAAAAGGGTTGCGATGTGTCTCCATCGAGAATCCCTTTTTATACGGAGAACCAAACAAAAGGGTATAATGCATCAACAGTAATTCCCCACTGTGACCACTGTCCTTTCCTAACAGGCGATACAGTGAAATTAATATGAGCAATTACCCCACTTTACGCTTTTACCCTTCATGTATACCTATATTTCTATTCCAACCCACGCCATATTCCACGTTGTTTTGTTTATATCATTGATGGGATGTGTAGTTATCGTGAATGGATATTGAAATTATTGCAGTTTATGGGTAGTAGAATTATTCCAATTCTATTATCTTCGACCAAATGTTGATGTAATTTTTTTTTTTTTTTTGGTCTGAACCACGAGGTGGTCCTGGATGGGCTCCAACTAATGTTGATGTAATTTTAATTCCTTAATTCCCTTGTTCTTAGATTTTCCGAATCATTACATACCTCATTCCTAATAAGTAAACATAATATAGTAACTCAAATAATAAAGTAACTTGATTAATCAATGAACAAAGTTTATTCCAAATGGCTACAAGAATTATGAATGTGCATTTGATGTACTGTGCTCGATTGTCTCTTTCGCCCCAATGTTATTTATGTAAAAAAAACGACTCTAACAATAATTTTAAAAATTTGTATATTTCAAATGCTATACAAACTCTTGTAATTGTTGTAAGTAAAATGACTAGTCTCATTCAAACTTAAAAGAAAACAAACACAAAAAGTTTGAACTTCTCTAATACGAAACATTCCTTCTCATGCCCTACTTTGTTGTCCTAATCCCCCTTTTCATGTTATACTCATTTTCTCATAATTCTAAATTAAAATCATCCTATCCATCATCATCAAGTTCTACAAAACAAAACAAAAAACCCTGAATTTGAATAATCTGGCCTCCAAGCATTGCTAGAAGTCTACTTACTTATCAGTAATGACTTATGAGTATTGGAATCATTCCAATTTGTTCTAAACTTGTGTTTAATAAAAAATCATGAGAGTTACATGGTAAAATTCGTAATTGTACCCTCAAAATTGGGAATCATACCAACCAGATGAGAGTAGTTGATCTGATTCCTATTTCTTATTCCCAAATTCTTAAGTTCCCCAATTCATGAGACTTCTTTTACAATTGGAAGTAAACATAAGTGTTATTTGTTCAGCTAATAATTTTTTTGTTTTTTTTTTTTTACACTTCGCTTACAAATTGATGAATTCTTGCACTATTTTCCCCAAGTTACATGAAAATTTGTGGAGCCCAACTGCCGTTATAGGGGCAGATGACCCCAAGGGCTTATGGTGGCTCCGCCCTCGGTATTTATATGTCTCTAGACTACAGAGAGAGAAGAGAGTGGTAAAGTCGGCTCTAATTTATAATCATGTTAAGGGATTAAGTTATATGTTTGTTGAATTAAAAATGGTTAATCTGATAAAGATAAAGATGTGGGTTGGGTTTGTGTGGTTATTAATAGAATTAATTAAGCTGGATGATTATCTGTTCAAATTAAAATATTTTATGTAAGAGAGTGGGTCCAAGTCAAATTGTCTGGCTGATTAGTGGCATGAATTTATCCCTTTGTTATTCTATTGCAATAAATTGTTGTTGATTTGAAATATGAGAAAGTTTAAATTGATTTGAGCACCCAATAAGGTCAAGTTTAGCATTTATTTATACAAGCAACAATTTAAATTACTTTAATTTACGAGGAGAGAGATCGAACTCGAGTACAAGGAGGAGAGCAACTGGGACCATAACTCGCATTTATATATTAAACCCTAAACACTAAGCATCCTTAATTTTGAGTGGAAGAGTTGCATTTGCTTAACTTTGTCATTAGATTCCGTTGTTCTTAATGAATAACATCTTAGGTTCATTTACATTAAGCACATATGACTGCTTAAGTAAACCCTGCAAGTCTGGTTCAATTTTAAATGACCATATAAATTTTCCGTCGATTATTCAAACCCCATGAAAGTTCTCGAACACTAGAAGAATAGTGTTCAAGCACTCATCATCTTTACTTCATAGTTATATTTTGATCAATAAAATGTAACGATTGTATTAAATTAGTAATCATATAAATGGCTTTTTGATGAAGGGCAAGATAGAAATTGCGGAAAAATAAATGGTTCAACACTAGAGAAAATGATGCAAGAAAAAGGCAACAAGCTAGTTTTGGATACTCGCATACCCATTTGAGAAAAGAGTCTTTTTCTTTTTTTTATACAAGCAATGTCGACGGAGGACATAATCGAATCTAAGACTTTAGGTATAGGGATAAATACTATTAATCACTTTAGCTACAAGCCCCTTTACGAAGAGTCATTTATTTTGTTTATATTTTTAGGTTTTTCTTGCATCCTAAGTAGGTTTTAGGATTTTTTTTTTTTTTTTTTTTTTTGTAGAACCAATCAGTTTAGAGTTTGAATGAGGTATTAATTAGAACCGAAGTCATAAAAACGTTTAAAAAAATGGGTTTGTGATGTGGATCGATATATTATCATACTTTAATTTAACCATAAGAATAAACGAAGAAAAAAAAAGATAAAGAAATATAAAGAAACTATACTTTTATGTCCGTTTGTCATTTAAGCATATAATATAGATGACTTGTTGTATTTTCAAATCGTGCATCCCTATCATCATCATTGTTAGTAATGATGCTTTATAATCATTCTCCAAATTCATTTGCAAAACACCCTATTGTCAACCTTATAATGGCAGTTAGGGAGAATTGCACCGCCTTTCTAATTAATGGGGAATTAAACAAGTGCATGAGGTAATGGTCCAGTTTAAATACAATGATTAACTGTTTTGTATTATGACTGACCTAGCGATAGATAATTCGTCGTATCACTAAAATTATATTAAACATTAACTCTCACTCGGTACACAACTAATGGATCAAGCGGTCAAAATAAGACATTACGCAAACGGTCTTGATACCGACCAAGGACCAACTACCAAACACTATGATAGATCGTGAAGCTATTAAGTTATTTTTCATAGGTTTGTTTATGGCAATAACAATATTTTTTTTGAGTGTTGAAACTAATATCGTAAATTGACTTGTAACTTAAGTGATTATGAGTATTTATCCATATACTTGAGTTCTTATAAGTTGTAATGGAAATTTAGAATATAAAATGATACCTATACAAAAATTTGACAAAAAGCATATAATCGGAACTGAGTTTTGTTTCCACTAACCAAAGATGATCTTATATAAATTGGTAATTTGTGGTCTTGTTATTGAAGTTACAAGTTAGTTAACAGCAGCAGAAACAATTCCTGTCTTTTCATAGCACGAGTGAGCAGCAACAGTCTCTAAACCTCACTATTTTGCTATTTTCAACTAATAAAATTTAGACACGTGTGATAACATTTTCACGCGATATAGCATTATCGGCCGGAAATAACAAAACATTAGTATCCCAATTACAACTAAGTTTTCCTCCTCCACTTCACCAATAGAATTATAAATAAATATGGCAGGAGGGTGCCCCAATAGAGAAAAGAAAAATAACATAAATAATAAATAAATAAATAAATACTAACAAAAAAAGGAAAAAAAAGAAACAAACAAAAACAGTGTAGGGTTTTGGGTTGGGATGAGCTGTCTTACTGCATTAGATGCTTTATCTGATGCTTACCTGCGCTGTCTTGCAGCTTGCTGCCCTGGAGTCCGGACTCACCCTCTTATATTTACCATTCAACCACTGCTCCCTCTCTCTCTCTCTCTCTGTGCAGACACACCAGTTTCTTTTCCTCACCTAATCACACTTATCACCCATCTCCTCTGCTGGCCTCTTCTGAATTAATTCTCAACTTTTTTCTGAGACAAATTAATACTCAAGAATCATGACAGTTGATGAAAAGTTCACTTGCTTCTTCTTCTGGATTAGGATTTCACAAGAAAATGGATTTCAAAATCTTGTTTCTCCTTATTCTGGTCTGAAATCTCACACGGAGATGCAGAGAGAGTGAGAGTGGGTGGTAAAAAAAAATCCGAAGGACAGCCTTGAGAGAGGTAAAATCTCAGATTTTGTGGGCACCTCTGCAATTGTCAAATGCGCTACTTGAGTCATGAAAGGACCAATTTGCCCACAGAATAGTAGGCGATGATGCAGGACAATGTTGGGTTTTCAAAGCCCAAAAAGAAAAAAAAGAAAAGAAAAGGAGAGAATGTCTTTATAGAGAGAGGGAGAGAGAGAGAGAAAGCATAAACAAATGTTCTCATAATTACTGGGGTTGGGGGGCATAAAAATCCGAGTGTAACAAAGGCTGATTTTTAACATTCCTTTTACGAGAGACCCCACGAGTGGGCTAAGGCTTCTCCTCTTGTATTCTTTTTTTCTTTCCTCCACCACAAAGGTCTTATTAGGTCCCCCACCTGCTGCTTCTTCTCTGTATCTAAGTCATCTTGACCTACTCAATCAAAACGCTCTCTTTCTCTCTCTTAGTTTCTCTCTCCTACTGCTGCTGCTGCTGCTGATGGAAGGGAAGGACAACAGTTAATCATAGACCAAGAGAGAACCCCACAAACTCTTAGTCTTAGCTAGGTCCAACCCCTGCAAACATTTTAAAGAGATTCTCACTCACTCCACGTTTCTCTCTCCAAAGTCCAACCCCAAGAAAGAGAAAGACTTTGGAGAAAAAGATAAACAAAAAAAAAAAAAGAAAAAAAAAAGAGTTTTATTGGGAATGACTGGTAAGTTAGAGAGAGAGCAAGAGCCTAGCTAGCAAGAGAGAGAGAGAGATGGGGTTGATCAATCAGACAGCAGCTGCTTAAAACCCAAGAAAACCCAAAGAAACATAAAAATAAAAAAGATATCCCTCCAAACCCCCCACCCTTCCCCACCAAATGGACTTATCAAATTTCCAAAGCACCAACAACAACAAGAAGCAGCAGCAGCAGCAGCAGCAACAGAGCAACACTAGTAACAACAACACAAGTCATCACCAGCTCCACCAGCACCTTCTTCATCCTCATCCTCATCATCATCATCAACAGCAACCAAAACAGCAACAGTCCTCACCTTCTTCCCAGTTTGTGGTCCCCTTTGATGGCAGCAGATCTTCTTCTGGAGCAGGAGGAGGAGGAGGAGGAGGGGGCCCCCCTTTCATGGGCTCCATCTCAATTCAAGCTGGCCTCACCTCTACTCATACACCGACAACAACTTCTGCTACTGTTTCTGCACAACCACCAGCTCCTTCCTCCTCTTCTTTGTCTTCTTCCTCCTCCTCCTCTCCCTCCTCCACCTCCACCTCCACCGCTCCTCCTCCCCACTTGGTCGACGCCTCCCTCGCCATCGCCACCAGATCCGACTCCCACCCCTCAACCCGACCAGCCCCGCTCCTCGACTCCGCCAAGAAAAACCAAATTCATCAGCAGCAATTGACAATTTCACCCACCAGTACTACTACTGCGACACCACCAGCACCACCAGCCGCAGCAGCAGCAACCCAAGTAGTGAAACGATCCACCAAGGATCGGCACACGAAAGTCGAAGGCCGAGGCCGCCGCATACGAATGCCGGCCACCTGCGCCGCCAGAGTCTTCCAGTTGACGAGAGAATTGAGCCACAAGTCCGACGGCGAGACAATCGAGTGGCTCCTCCAGCAAGCCGAGCCTGCGATCATCGCCGCCACCGGAACGGGGACCATCCCGGCCAATTTCTCCAGTTTGAACATATCCCTGCGTAGCAGCGGATCAACGCTCTCCGCTCCGCCTTCCAAGTCCGCCTCTCATTCCTTTCCCGGCGCCTTGGCTCTTGCCCATCACCCTCACTACGACGAGGGTTTTCCCCATTCGGGTTTGTTGGGGTTTCATCAACAGCAGCATCATCACCATCATCATCAGCAGCATCAGTCTCCTCTTATGACCGCGGATCAAATTGCAGAAGCGCTTCCAAGCGGCGGCGGAGACAGCGGCGGTGGAGACTCTACCGACAGTTATATGAGAAAGCGCTTCAGAGAAGATCTGTTCAAGGATGATAATCAAGGGCGAGGCGAAGGCGGCGGAGGCAGCAGCGGAGGAGGAGGGTCGCCGTCTGGGAATAAGGCTTTTAAGAGCAGCGGAGGCTTACAATTGCAAAAACAACAACAGGGGTCGGAGGGGGAGGCAGGACCTTCAGGGCTGCTGAGGCCAACTTCGAATATCCTGCCACCCACTGCCATGTGGGCAGTGGCACCCGCCCCGAACAGCGGTGCTGCTGGCAGCACATTCTGGATGCTGCCAGTAACCGCTGGTGCTGGTGGGCCCTCAATGCCCACCGGGACGTCCGGCGCTGGTCCTTCCGAGGCTGCACAGATGTGGACGTTTCCGTCCGCACCTGCCAGTCACGGGAGTACATTGCAAGCGCCATTGCATTTCATGCCGAGGTTTAACCTTCCAAGCAGTCTTGAATTCCAGCAAGCCGGCAGCCGAGGGAGCCCTCTCCAATTGGGTTCCATGCTAATGCAGCAACAGCCATCACAGCATCTTGGGCTTGGAGTCGCCGACTCGAATTTAGGCATGTTGGCTGCTCTGAATGCTTCTTACTCTAGAGGTGGTTTGAATATGAATTCTGAGCACCACCAGCAGAATCATCCATTGGATCATCATCATCAACAACAACAACACCAGCCTCAAACTACTGATAGTGGAGATGAGGCCCCAAATAGTTCTCAATGACATAAATATTGGTTAGTTTTATTTCTTCTTACTTTATATGTACATCATAAAATGCAGCTTGGTTTAGTCCTTCCCAATTTTTCATTAATTATAGGAGCAGCAGGAAACTAGAGATTGTTGGGTTTGTGTTTTTGCAGATTTGGAAGTTGAATTTGAGATGATGGGTTGAGAGTGCTTGAAAATTTCCATGGGATATGGTCATGTCATCTGATGAAAAAGATAGGTTTCCTAGTTCTCATTTGTAGCATTGTTCAGTTTGAATTTCTTCAATTTATTTTCTAGATTGGTGTGGAGAAAAACCCCAAGATTAGTATGTAATTTGTTAGTGAATTTGGTCCAAAGGGACTCAAAGGGAACAGGCAGAGTGAAATTGTATAGGAGGATATTTGTGTTGAGTGTTTTTTTTTATATAAAATATTTGTTTTGTTTGTATTGAGAAGAGAAAATGGAAAACAAGCAAAAAGAATTTAAAAGAGAGAAAAATTCAATAAAATTTTATTCATCTCTTCTCTTTTCAGTATTCACACGTTGTATAAAGCATCTCCTTTTTCCCTCTCAATTGGCAAAAGGCTAAAGCCAACCAAAAAAATCTTGAGCTTCTCTTTATGAGATGGAAAGAAGTTGCCAGATGCAGAGACCAGCTCAATGCCTGCATCAACCCTTTCTTACAAAACATATAGGACAAGGAGAAGAAACCCAGCAACCAACCAAGTTTGATGTGCATGTGGAGAGAGAGAGAGAGAGAGAGAGAGCAAATATTATATGAACTTTAATCAATCCAAGACAGAGAAGAGACAGAGAAGAGAGAGATTAAAACAAACCTGAGAAGGCATGCATGCTGGCTTTTACCTTCCACCACTTTTCCCCTTTTTCTAATACACAGTTTTATCCTAAAACTTTTGTGATTGTCCTCCTAATTTATAAATGTCTGTGATAATTAAAATATATACCGTGTCCATGAAGCCTTCCCCAGGCATGTTTGATTATGTTCTTTAATTATATTAAAATTAAAATTAAATTATTAAGAAAGGATAAGAAAACTATGAAGAATACGAACCGAACCAAAGCGTGCATAGTTTTTGGTTTCAATCTCATTTCAATTTGAAGGGTGAATCATACCGTACTAAACTCAACTGTCCTACCTCTAATGAAAGAAGAAAGACATAATTCAAGTAATTAAGAATATTTGCTTTTATACTTGACTTCGTGTGTTTGATTACCACAATTTTTTAATAGCACTTGTATTTTTTTTTTTAAATGAAAGGAGTAAAAATGAAAACAAAGTACTGTAATTTTCTTTTTGGGTTTCTGGAAAAGAAAGGAAAAAGGCGTTGCGAAAATGAAAGAAAAAGGGGCAAAATTAATATAAAGCTAGCTGCGAAATGAAAGGGGAAATAACACAGACGGTGAGGGTGAGGGTGAGGGTGAGGGTGACTTTTGTTTTGACTTGTACAGTCAATTCAGATGACTTTTTCGTTTTCATTGCTTAATCATTTTCTCCCATAATTAATATGTCTACACGATGTGGATTTTGTATAGGGTCCCCTAGAATTTTGTTTCTATTTATATATGTCCCCACCAAATTCTGATTTTTGTTTTTGTTTTTAAATGAAAAAAAATTTGCATTCATAATTCAGCTGTAAAGGCTAATACAAATGCATGAGGAATTACTTTTTAGTATAAGCGATAGTCTAAATTACAAGGAGACGCTACTATGATGTCATGGAGGTTTAAACCTGAGTGAGACCACTAGTCTGCAAATCAATGCCCCTTTCAATTGGGTTAGACCCCGTTGGCCTCACTCTTTTCTAAAAATAAGATATTGAGGTATCGTTTGGTAAACAAATTTTTTAGTAAAAGAATTGTAAAAATCGACAAACAAAGAAGTAAAAAAAACTCAATTGGCACACTCTGTACGAGACTAATGACGAATAATACAAATGTAATTTTCTTCAAAACATTAAACATAATTGATTTATTTTGGGTAATTTCATCAAATATTGTCAAAGAGAGCTTAAGATAGTTTTTGTGATTAAAATTTGAAGAAAAATAATGAGCGGCGGGGCAAGTGGTAACCTCAAGTGAAACCAGTGCATTTGAAGCCCTAGGATTGGTAATGGGCATAGGAGACAAAACTCAACTTTCACCCAATTCATAACAAAATGTTAAAAATACAATTCTAATCTAAGCACATTCACTTAATCATAATTTATTGTGTTTGGGCAATTGGCAATTGGCAATTAGGCATCGGTGAGCGATCCACTAATCCCGCAATTTACGCAAGATAAAGCTAAAAACTGGGATTAATTAATTAAATTAACCCAAAGCTGTAGCCATAAGCATAAAAAAAGTGATTAATTAGATATATTATGCTATATAGTTTGACTTGTTTGTTCACAAAAAGTTGCCGTATTTTTTTTTTATAATTTAAACTTTTAATCTCAAATTCTGATGAGGAGGGAAAGGACGTGGGATGGGATGAGCGATGATGACTCATCATGAGGAGGAATAGGGGGAGCTTCTATAATTTAAAGCTTATCGGGTCGATGGACGGTCAGGATTGATTGCTGTGCTTTATCTCATTTGTCATGGGAATAAATCAGATCATTTATCTAATTATGCGCGCGTGGCGCTTCACGTGCGCCAATCATATGTGTTGTAAGTGCGGTTTTGGCCAGACTGGACAGAGATAAAGCGCGTGGGTCAAAAGACTAAGTAATAATATGCACAAAGCGCCAACAATAATCACTCCCTCAACTTAAATCTGTATCATGAAAATTTGTCTTTTAAAAAAATTTGTTTTTCTTTATTTATTTCTAATTCTCATTTGGAACAATTTTTAATATTGAAAAGAGAAATACAACTAAATCAAGAATACTTGGTATACAAACTAAGCGGGTAAAGGGGCTTTTTAACAAGTAATTATTTCATTTATCATGTTTGTTTAGTTTAGACTTGGAATATTAATTTTTGCTTCATAGGAAAAATGAAGGATGCCCTCCATCTCAAGTTTCATTTTCCTTTCTCATGATAAATCAAGGCAAACATTAATCGTATTTTATACGTGTGAAGGTTAACATAAGTTAAGGTTTGCATATTTCTAATTTAGGGGTATAATTGAAAAACTGAACACATTATGTTTTCATTTCCTGCACAAACCAGACACGAGAAAATAAATAAAATGATATTTATAGTTCTTTATCAGTGTTACCAAACTTGATATAGAAATCTTCCCCTGAGAAGGATATTTGAATTCATTTCACATGAGTTTCTTTATGCACACCAAACGCCTATAGTTTGTGTATTATAAAATTATAAAGTTCCAATTTTAGAGGAAGATAATCACAAAAAGAAAGAAAAAAAAAATTGAAGAAAAGTCAAAGAATGGCTGACCGCGTTGCCGGTTCATTTCACATCGACGACTAATGCTGCTATAATATGATGTACTTTTTTATATTATCCAACTTGAGTTTTAATGGAACTTTGCTTAAATGGCTGAACAAGTGCCAAAAACATTCACTTGATCTTTTGTTCCTGGTCAGACTCAAGACATGGACCGACCAAATCCACTGAATTCCGCATTTGATTCTAACAAAACCTTGACATTGCATAACAAAGTGTTACCTGACAATGGTTGAAAAGAAGAGAAACAAATTTGGACAGCAACACGTATAATAAAGCAAGCTGAGCACCACTTATAACCATCTGGTCAAATTTGACCATTGAAATTGGTCTTTTCATCACACTATTCTGTACATAAGATAACCCTTTGGTCAAAACCTACTTTCTATGTACAAAATACGAGAAAGACTTCCACGAAACTGAGATAACATTATTTTGTAATCCTCTGCCAACAACGTTGTGGCACACGTGATAACACTTCCATGTGGCATAGCATTATTGGCCAGGGATAGCAAAATAGTGGTATCCCGTTGCAACCATGTTTTTCTCACAAAATACATAATGGAAACATCAACCCTTTCTGATGCTTTATCTTGAGCCATTGCACTTAAATTGCACTTAAATTATGTGCAAATTGGGTAGAATTGATGATCCTGTGGCAACAAACACAAGACTAAGAAATTATTATCATATCAATAAAATACACATTGCAAGGCAAACCCAATCCACAGTTTTGTGGTTTGAATGGAAAATTCAAGAAATAGCATCATTGCATAAGAGCACAACGTATACTTTATATCCAAATAGTACAACTTTGACTTACTATTTAAAACTTGTGTAAGCATCAAGCCAAGCTTCTTAGCTGTCTTTCTTTTTCTGAAGCAGCTCCTGGGATTCCTGGGGAAACAGAGACAAAACCCTCATCCTGTAGAAGATCAATCAAGAGTCAACAAAAGTAGAACTGTCACTGTTCCATGACCCCATTAGAACTCAAATAATGCCAGTTCTTCAATTTCTGGACCAACCATATGATATTGAAAAGATATAAATAATTTCATTAAAAATATCAAGTTTAGATATCAGGGCCCACAGCCTTTCGTATTGAAGCACAAGGTTATAAAATATAAATACTAGAGCTCTAAATTTCAAGAACAAAAACTAAAAGAGGTAAGGGCATATATTTCAACTTTTATAACATAACTCAGTATTATAAAACTATCCAGCAAAGAATTAGTTCCATCTGCCATGTCCTTCCTTGGTTGGAAAAGAAATATTACTTTTTTTATCCTTTGCATACTGCACATGTCCAGTACGTGTCCAACAGACATCATACCTGAGTTCAAGTCCCCTGCAAGTGTCAAATAATGTTGCAAGACAACTGAGGAAATGTTCGTGGTTTTTCGTGTTCTATGCATAACATCCATTTTCAATGCACATGCTCAACAGAGAATGTTCCATATCCACGTCAATGAAATTAGGATATATTTTACTACAGAGCTATCTCCACAAAAAGATAAAAAATGAAAAATAAACACATAAAACCAATACATATTTTGAGCACAGAGATCAAAGTAATGAGGATAGCTTACGATAAAGTATCTGCAGCATTAAATATTGGAAGCCTTCCAAACCCAGCAACTTCCCATTTTGCTCTTTGAGAAGAAATAACTTGCTCAGCCTCTGAACCTGTTGCTGTCAAAACAAACTGGAAAAATCTACTATTTACCATATGTGAATAATAGGAGCAAAGTGAACTTTTAGGTACAAGTTCAATCACTACCAAATAAAAATAGAAAAGTGTACCAATGGAAAGAGTATTGCCATAAACCCGTAGCTCACAAGAGGCGAGAAAAAGAGAACAGGCAGAACACAAGGGCTTCCTGCAGAGCCATTGAAGATATTAATACCTCAAAACAAGTAAAAGAGTTTTAAATATAAGCAATATAAAAAGTGAGAGTATATAAAATCTCTAAAACATATTCCCATGTGTGTCCTCGAAGTCTAAATTCAAAATATTGGACTTTGAAATG